CACACACACACACACACACACACACACACACACACACACACACACACACACACACACACACACACACACACACACACATACTGATTGTAGGGCTGGTGTGCGTGAGGGTTTTTGGATGTCACACAGTGGAGGTGAGTACTTGAACGGTGGAACCAACCTCTCACACAAATCCATCGGATTTTGGGTGAACCTACGGATGAGGAGAAGAATGAAGGTTCAACCTACGGATGAATTCAATTTGGTGGAAGTGCACAGAAAAGTCTGACTCACTCACAGTCATCCTCTTTTGGGTGCACTTCAAGCTGAAGGTGTGTTCTGATCAGTGGATGCACACCACACTGTCACACTTGCAAATGCAAAATCTGTAGCTGCATCTCAATGTCACACAACTGCAAACAACTCAGTCTACAAAAAGCAAGCGACACGTATTGTTCCATCAGGCTGAGAGCCGATCATAAGAAAAAAACTTTTGAGGTTGAATGAGATCAACAAAAGGTTTCGAGGACCGATGAGGAGGAAGAAGCAGCAGGAGCAGTAGAAAATGACAAAGAAGAAGAGGAAGGAAAGGTTGAAAAACACGAAGGAGCAACTTGAAGGACAAAGAAGAGCAAGAAGAGGGTGTAAGGTGAGCTGGATGATTTAGAGGACATGTTTCCAAAAATAGCTCAACTTGGAGAAGTAATCATACCAGACCAGACCGTGCAAAGGCAAGCAGGAAATGAGACTGGCTAGATTGGTGGGATAGATCATAGATTGCAATAAAAATCATCATGATGATGAAATGCAACATCAAGAGAGTACGATGACCTGTGAAATCAACCGACTGTGACATCATAGTGATGTGACTCATGTGAGTGATTCTGTCGTTTCTTTTCATCAGTGGACTTGAGGACATACCATAGCAGTCGACGACTCCATTGCACAGGTACCATTCAAAAGGATGGTAGCTGTTGTCATCTGGCCACCATGTTTGATTGGCAGTGCACATCCGTTTGCTGGGACATTTCCCACGAAGTGGCCCGCAGTCGAACTCCACACAGTGATCTCCTTCATCCGAGCCATCATCGCCTGCAAATGACACACAATTTAACACCAAGCAAAAACTTAAGACGCAGTTTAAGAGATGCACCCCGGACGTTGTAATTCCAAACCAGCGTGCGATGGACAAGACAAGTGGGACATCAAAAGATGAAGAACCAAGGGACTAAGAAGACGTGAAGCGAGCGCAGACTCCGAGCTGCCGATCAACAAACATCTAGCTCTTCGACGTGTCGTCTGCGGATTATACCCTTCACAAGGGCAGACTAGATGAGGCTATTTTCTTATTCGTCGTACACCCATAACAATTTAGCGAGCGTGGATACACATGGGAAAGAAGGTTACCCTAGAAATAAGTCGGACTCCATGAAACAACGGGGTTCGCATCAGGTTTTCAGTTGAACTTGGGGAAGGCAAAACAAAAAAAAACAAAAAAAACATTAAATACCACTTTGGTCATGGCGCCAGTTTTCGATGTCCGTTTCACTACAATATTATAGCAGTAATCTTTTTTTTTGCCTTTTTGGATCTCAGGCCCTCTGCACACCACGGCCTCTGACATCCGTGCTGATTACGAAGTGCCACGTCAGCCCTTTGGGACATCCATTAGAGAGAGAGAGAGAGAGAGAGAGAGAGAGAGAGAGAGAGAGAGAGAGAGAGAGAGAGAGAGAGAAGATCGGCAAATGGCCCCTGCGCTTAAATCGGGAAATGGTCTTGAGAAAAAAAAAAAGAAAAAAAGAGCCGTGTTGAGGGAAAAAGAAAGTCTTGAGAAATGGTCTTGAGAAAAGAAAAAAAAAAAAAGAACTCGTGTTGAATCTGTTGATTTTATTGCCTTTCTGAACTCAGCACCTGTTCTTTTTTTTCGCTGGCAACTTTTCTTTTTGCCGATCTGAAACTCAGTTTTGACTAAGCTGCACTTACCACTTTTTTTTTCCTTTTTTTTTAATTTGGACAAATAACCAGTCCCACGGCTAGGAGAGGGGGTGATAAGAGCACCCGCTCCTAATTCCATTTGGGAGTGAGGGAGAGTCAATATCTGTCGCCGTGGCTCAATGAGCTCTGTCTCACTTCTTTTTTTTTTCCTGAACGGCTAAGGCCTTGAGATATCATCATCGAACTGACGGTCACCGGCCCTAGCCTCTAGGTGATTCACACTTGCAGTATTTCACTCATCTACTTCTAGTGGAGTTCCAACTCAGCACCGGGTCTGTATTTCAACAGTTCGTTCAGGGGGAGTGTACCAACTGAGCTAGGCCAGTTGGTGATGCTGTCTCACTCCATATTCTGTATATTTGTCTGCAATGCATGTGACACCGTCTGACAGTGTTTGTTTGTTAATCTGTTCGCACGTTCCGTGTGCCCAGTGTGTCGCTGTGCGAGTCTGTGCACGTTCGATGTGTTTTTGTGCATGGCATTACGTTTGATAATATGTGCACTTTGTCTGCGGCTGTGTGTATGAATGGGAGCAATCATCAGCAATATGCATCAGTCTGAGAGTCTACAGAAGACTAGTATGGATGGAGAAGACTGAGATGGTTCTGGAGAATACAGGGTTGTCATAGTGTAGCACTCTCCTAGGGAAGGCAACATCACCCCCCTCAATCCCAACATTCTTGTCAAGGGTTACTGTAGCTGCCGTGTGACCCCCCTTTCTCGGTACTCAGATCGGATTCCACAAATTGGCCCTGGGAATGTACATAAGGGTTATTTATGTGCTTCCAAGTTGAAGCCGTCGAACAGCCAAGCTTTTTTTTTTTCCCCTTAAAGTTTCCGTCTTTCGTTACCTTCTATCGGATGGGCAAGGGAATTCAGAAAACGCCATCACACTGATCACAGGCATTTCAGTGCATGTCAGTATGTTTTCAAAAGAAATCGATGATTGGACACGGTGACCCAGTTTCCAGCAGGCAGTAGCCTGTCTCCCGCCCCCCCGCTCCCCCCTCTCCCTTCTCCCTTCGTGTATAGACTGAGGTTGTTCTCATTTTAAAAATATGTATATATATATGTATATATATATGTATATATATATACACACAGAGAGAGAGAGAGAGAGAGAGAGAGAGAGAGAGAGAGAGAGAGAGAGAGAGAGAGAGAGCATCCATCAGTCTGCATTTGGATCCTATTTGCAACACTATATAGAATAGAGTAGCTGATTCTGGCATAAAGACCAGATGTCTTCCTGTTTCAGTCTGTAACTCAGACAGTGGCACAGTGGTCAAAAGTTCAGCCATACTGTTCTTGGCATCCAGTGCCATCCACCCGACTCCTGCTTACTACCACCAGCTTTCCCCCAAACACAATGCATCCTAATTCCGAACGTATAGAAGCTACCTTTCCGGTCCCATACAGTTGTGCTGACAGGGGAAGAGGGTAGTCTCCCTCTCTCTCTCCACGCCGAACCAACTGGTGAACAAGAAATGATTCCAATTCAGATCAGATTCTCAGTTTCATTGCAGCTTCTGATCATAGACAAACCACACAAGGCAGCTGCACCCAATACCCTCCTGCAGGCAGCAGGACAAGCTTCCTCGCAGTCTGACCACTTGAAACTGGGGTACCGACTGACTGGAACGTGGTCCCCTGACTCCCCTGGATTAAAGAAAGCCTCACTGAGTTGATTGTCAGCTGGCAAGCTGGCTGACAATCAATTGGCTCAGGATTTGGTTAAGTCCTGGCCTGTGCTAGTGGGTTGGTGCCCTCTGAACACAGCCTGGAAAACCATGTGGGTCAGTCAAATTGTCAATTGCTGAACTAGTGGGGGTCTGTAACCTTGTGGCAGATGGATTTCTTTTCCGACGAGGGGGATGGAAGGAGAGGAAGAAAGAAAACAAACACATGTTCTATAAACTTCCCGCACACTAAGACCTGAACGCTCGGTTCTTTATTCTGTTATGACCCTGGCCAATTTCGAGATACACATCCATCAGAAAGTACAATGCCGTCCAATTGCAGAAAGCAATGAATGAACTTGAGAGGAGAGAGGATTAGAAGAAGAAGAAGAAGTAAGAACGAAGAAGAAGATGATGTACACCGGCATAGACAAATGTCCAGGCTCTTCTTCCTCGCCCAACAACCTCCTCCTCCTTATCTCCCCCTTCTCTTATTCATACAAGAAATAATCAAACAATGTTGAGTGGCTGATCCAGAATCAATGTCCGAGTTCCTCTTCTACTGCAGGTATCACTTGAGGTCCACCATAGCCATGGCCGCCTCTCCCTTCCTTCACCCTCATAGGCCGAGGCTATGGCGGACTACTAGGCCTTGCCCAGATGCCCAAAGGACAACCCAAAGCAGCTATGGCTGCTCTAGCTCAGGCCGCCATGCCCGACCCTGCCTTGAAGCTTCTTGGTGTAGCTCTCCCCAGTTGGAGACTCCCTGCTGCTGCGCCCACCAAGGTGATGAAGATGGCTGCCACCATAGCCAGGTAAGAACCCCTGGCGCTCCTCCCCCTTCCTTCCTTCTTCCTCCCTCGTGTCCTTCTCCTTCCTCCCCAGCAGCGCTGCTCCAGCATAGTGCTGCTCCAGCCAGCGCTCCACCAGTGTGTCACGAAACTTGCACACCGAAAAAGAGGCCGTACTCTCCGCCCGGCCAGAAGATATAGTCACCTGCTTTGCCTCTTGGGCGGTGACTTCCAGGCCGCTCGGCCTTCCAAGCAACTGGTACCTCCTCCCTTTCGGAGGGAAACGCCATTGCAGACTCTGATATTGCCCGTACAGGCCCTAGACCCAGACTGGTTGGACTGGTATCCACCTAGACCTATCCTACAACTACTGGGCCTCTGAAAAACCAGCGCATCTACCCCTTCGGGGTGCGGTACCGACCTACCCGCTACTTCAGAGTTTTTCCTGCTGCAATCCCTCAATGGCACGGCCACAGGTAAGTACCGGCCCTGAGGGCCCAATGAACGAGCAAGTGCCCTTGCAGGCCACACACACACTCAAGCCAACCAGCACTCAGACAGGCACGGCCACACACATTCAAGCCAACCAGCACTCAGACAGGCACGGCCACACACACACTCAAGCCAACCAGCACTCAGACAGACATGCAATCCAGCAAGCGTGCACACACAGACTTGTTAGCAAGCGGGAAACTCAGCAGGGCATTCAGTCTATGGGCAAAACTCAGAAATCAGCTGTGTGTTTCAGTCCATGTTTGGACGGGTCATCACAATTCCGCAGGAGGACGGCAGAAGTTGGTCGGTCTGTCGGGTTGGAGGGTCCGGAGTGTTCATGATGAGAAAGAAGGGATGTGTACTGTGTACTGTGCACTGTGATCCTCAGCCCCGCTGATAGGGGCTGCTGTGTAGGAGGTAGTGCCTAGGTAGTCAGACTGTCGTTTAGACTCTTGAAACGCTGGTTCCACAGACCGTTTTAGGACCCTGCAGGGCCTGTACTGGTAAGAGGCCTCTGTACACAAGTAGTCTAGTAGATACAGCGCTTGGTAGAGTAGACTAAGTTTGTAGGCAGTAGGAGCAGGTGCAGTCTGTCAGCTGCGGAGTCTATGTGAAAAGACTCGCAGGCAAAGCCTGTAAGCTACGCTGGATTTATTTTTTTTTATTTTTTTTTTATTTATTTTTTTTAGACAGATCCCTCCAGTGCTAACGGTGCTGATGAGAGCAATCACTGCTAGCTCCTGTGGAGAGGCTCCATCTATTGGTGGGGAGCATCACCTGCTGGAAAACGGGTCCAGCGTCCCTTATGAGTATGATACAATTGGAAGACAGCAGAACACATTAGAGAAAAATAGGAAGAACCTGCCAGCATTGATTGCCCTGGAGACCAGGGGATTAACTGAGCAGGGGGGAGCCTCTTCACCTTTCGGCGCCAGAATCCTACTGCTACGTGCTGGCTCCTTTTTTTGACTTCAATATGATGCATGATCATGGGAGGGTAAGTTGATGGCACCTGCCAGCATTAATTACTCTGGAGACCAGAGGATTGACTGCGCTGACTGAGCCTGCACCCGACTTGGCCTGATGCACACTTCCTCTGCCTGGACAGGGTTCAGAGAAGGGCCACCGGGGGGCA